GAACTTGTGTCAATGTATCCAATTGTGGATTATAATTCAAATTTTAGAATTATACATTACTCAGTTTGTTAATTTAAAAGTAAAGATTAAAAAAACATGAATAAACATTGATTTTTGTATGTCATGGTATGTTGAATGCAACACACTGGTTCAAATTAGATGTTTGTGAAGTCAAAATACTAAGTCTGTAGGTTCATATGAATTAGAAACACAAATTTCAGATATTGACAAGCTAGAATATAAAATAAGAAGGTCTTAGTTTGCTAAGATATTGCTCACATAATAAATCAAACAGTGGCACCCTAATCGCCTCCCTCCATTTTTGGAAACGCTCCCTTATTTCTATGTATGACATGAATAACCAATTGGAAGCTCAGAATGTCCCTCTAGTGGTTTTCTAAACCTTTCTAACATACCTAGCATCATTTATTTCTTTTAAATTAAGATTTTAATGAGGTAGGTTGTGTCTTTAGTCTGCTCCAAATTTTATATTTTATTTAGACCCAAATACAGCTTGGTTACTATGTTTGATAAATTATAGTAGAATTCTATGGTATTGATGTAGTAATTTATAATTTTTTAGTTATTCAAAAATATATATAAAACTTGAAACATTTTTTGTGTCCTCCACATGCAAAATTTTTAAAAGCTTAGCAACCTACATCAAGCTGCAACTGAGTACAAAGGTCATAACTAGAAGAAATAATTGTTTGCTTTACTTCTTTAGTTACTGTTCTATGTTTTAGGAAAAATAACTTTAAGAACTTATTTCAAAATAGCAATAATATATATATATATATATATATATACACATATGTAATGTATAATGATTGAAATGCGACTGTATTTTACAAAATACTAGTCTACTAAAACACAGCCAAGACAGGTCACTTTGTAAAGACCAAAGGTCACCTTTATTAGTTGGAAAAATATGGTTGGCTCACAAAGGGCATAAGAGATAAAATTAAAGAAAAGCATCATAGATTTAATTAGAAAATTAAGAACTTTCATCAAACAGGAAATTAGGACATCAAAAAGGATGTATGAAAAAGGTTAGATGAAAATGTAAAAAATGTCAATAAGTTTAGTATCAAATAGTAGATTATAATTCAAATTTTGATATTATACATTAGTTAATATTGTTATATCTCCGTTCATTAATTAACTTTCCTTAAC